TCGAGATAAATCAGGTCAAAGTTAGGGGCTCATCTATTACAGGTTTGAGGTTCTACAATGTCTCATGTTTTCTTCTATGATCATTCATTATATATTTAATCTGTCATAAAAACCATCAATTCTTTTTTGCAAAATTTCACATTCATTCCATCAAAACCTTTAAAAAATCAAAATCTATATTATAAAAAACTACATATCAAAAAAAGACAATTCAATAGTAGAGTGGGAGGGAGAGGGATGCATGCAAAATTTTAAAAAAAAATTACAAAAAAAGAAATCAATAAACATTTTCCTCTTCGAAATAAGTGACATCCATTGGGCATTGTTGTGCAAAGTGAGAGTTGCCCTGTTGAGTGAAAAATTGAAAAAAAATTGAGCGAATTTTTGGTTTTTTGATAAAAGAAAATGCGATGAAAAGTGATTGGGAGAATTGATATGGCGGACTTTTTGGGTGTTTTTTATATTACAAAGGACAAGTGGGAGTGGTTCAGAGACAAATTCTAGAACCTAGAACCTAGAACTTCCCTATACGTACACTTTTAGTTCAATTATCTCAATTACTGGGAAAGGGATCAAAATTTTGTCAACTGATGAAATATGGGTGACGACATTATGATAAAGATTTCATTAGTTGACAAAATTTTGATATCTCTCACAGGAAAAGAAATAAATAAGCTCAAAGTTAACTATTAGGGAATACGGTAACCGAAAAGAAAAGCTAAAATGTAGTTCTAGAATTTGCAACTCTGAGCAGAACAACCACAAACCAAAAGACATCAGAAGACACGAAAAAAAAATGCAAAAAGAGCAAAAAAAGAAGAAAGAAGTCAATAGAATTAGGCAGGAGTCAATGCATACGTATTATTGTAACACTTATGACAGAATGGACGACGGTCGACTTCCTTGAATGTTCCTTTCGTTAGCTGATGATTACAGTATGAGCATCTAAAGTGCTCCGGATGGAACTTCCGTCCCATCGCCGCCACACACCGCCCGTTGATGGCTCCACGACACTGTGAACAGATGGATCCACGTGTCTCATGGTAGTGTCGCTCACACAATGGAGTTCCGTTGTGCTCGAAGAAGTTTCCACCGTTGAAACCGACTCCGCAGTGCTGAAATGAGCAATCGACATAGATTTAGGGGAGAAAGGACACGTGGCAAGGCACTTCAAAACTGAAGCTAAAGAGAGAAAAATTGAAGCTAAAAAGGGAATAAATTCATGCTCAACTGAATTATAGTTAAGAATACTAAAATTATCTACAGTCCCAAAAAATAAAATATTCTATAGGATAGTTTAATGTAAAGTTGGATAAATTTTTCCGTTTTCCGGAAAATTCCCTTTCTGTTGAAGATTTTTCGAAAACTTTGATGTTACTTGGCTTGGTAAAAAAAAGCAAAAAAGATTTCGATTTGTTGGGAATCGAACTCGGGTGCTGAGATTTGCAGTCTAGCTCGCTAGCCACTATGCTAACCGGGCGGCAGAGAACGGCCGCCGGAAGAGTTGGTAGAAAAGAGTGCGCAAAAGGAGATACGACCCGGTCTCGAATATTATAATTTCCAATTTGGGGACTAAATTTCGAAAAGTTAGAAACTTCAAAATCTCAAAACCTTCAAAATGCTAGAGTTTATAACTTCTGCACTATGTAAAAAAACCCAGCTATTTCGATTTCTAGAAGCCACAAATTTTAAAATACAATGTTTTAAGCCACTCTGCACACTGTCAAAAATGGATCATTCTGTCATCATTACAAGAAAAAAGAACAAATAGGGTAAGGAAAAAACGAAAGACGAATATAGATAGACACCGGACATAAACATACCGCACATTCGTTTTTCGATGGTTTCTTTAATTTTTCGATTTTTGACTTTTTTCATTTTCTGAATTTCTGAATTCAAAAGGGGTACCTGGCAAACGAAGCAGTCTGGATGCCAATGAGTTCCGAGAGCCGTGATGAAGTTTGAGGTGATTGGTTGGGAGCATCCGTTGCATTTTGGTGCGAATAGACGGAAGAAATCACGTTTGCAGTAGGTTTGGCCGTTCTGAGATTATTTTTTTCAATAGCTCTTTTAAAGCTATAAGCTTTGATTTTCAGAGGATTACGACAAATGCTCAAATAGAAACTATTTCCCACGCGCAATTCGAGCTCAATTATCTCGGTTACTGTAAGAGATATCACAAATTAGTCAACTAACAAAATGTTTATCATAAAACCATAAATATTTTATCAGTTGACAACTTTTTTGTATCTCTTACAGGAACCGAGGTAAATTGACTCAAAGTTGAAAGGGGAATTTCATTACAGGTTTGACGGTTATAAACCTTTTCAAGGACTGCAGTGTTTGATTTGAATCAAAAATCGTAAATTTCTAACATCTCCTCATTTAACATTTTATTCTGATCTCTACAAAATAAACCAACCTTCTCATGGAATCCGTCTTCTCCAAATGGTTGGTTGCACTCGGCACAGGTGAAGCATTCAATATGGAAATTCTTGTTCATCACATTCACACATCTCTGAAAATAAATGATTGATCAGTTTAGATTCAGTTTTAGGTTCAGATAACGATCCGGAGTCGCTGGAACCATACTTGTAAAATGGGCCTTCGCGGATCTACCATAGTTTCTTTTAGAATCAATATTTGTGGATCAAGTGAATTGGATATGTTAGAATCGACGAGTACTACAAAATGATAGTAATTAAAAACTGTATCTTGTCAATGAACAAAGTTACAAACAAAAAAATCAGGCAAGTCCCGGAAAAGCCGTGGCAGTCATTTTATGGATTATAATAGATAAGATACAGTTTTGCGAATAATTTAATTTTGTAGCACTCTTCAAGTTCTTTCATATCCAATTTAGCTGGTTCAAAAGTTTACATTCTGAAAGAAACTATGTCAACACCCGCGAACGCAAGCCAGGGCCCGTTACATAAGTGTCAAAATTCAAAAGTTTCAAACAACAAATCTTACATCAGTAATAGCACGATGACATCCTTGACACTTTGGACTGAATTGGTTATGGTAGTCTTCCTCGCAGAACGCACGTCCGTTTCTCTCGAAGAACGGACGTTGACCGAGTTCCGTTCCGCATTCACAGCATGTGTAGTGCTCCGGGTGCCACATTTTTCCCAAAGCGATCACGACCTGAAAGATGAAAATAGAAAAAAAAATAGTCGAAATGGTACAATTTCTTTTAGGAGGGTACAAAAATCGGAATAACGATGCAACATTTCGTCTAATAGAAGTCAACACTAAACGCGCACTTCGAGCTCAATTATCTCGGTTGCTATGAAAGATATCAAAAAGTGGTAAACTAAAAATTGTTCATCATTATATCAGCAATATTTTATCAGTTGACAACTTTTTTATATCTATTACAGGAACTGAGATAAAATCGGTCAAAATAAAAGGTCCTTCTATTAAATTATGTCAATCGCATGTGGTTGCGTCTCTGTTGTCTGCGTATGGCAATCAGTTAGGAAGCAACTGTCTATACTTCCAATTTGAGCTCAATTATCTCAATTTCTGTAAGAGATACCCAAAATCTATCAACTGATAAAATATTGCTGACATTATGATAAATAATTTATCAGTTGATTGCTTTTTCATATCTTTGACAGGGATCGAAATAATTGAGCTCAAACTTTACATCGTGGGGCCCCTTTATTACAGGTTTGAAAGTATTTTTTCTCAAAATTAACCCTACCTGTCCAATAATTGGCTTTCCACACGCCGCACAATCTCCTTTTGGAATCGTATTGACTCCGTGCTTCGAGCTCAATTCCCCATTCATTGTTCCGATCATCGAGTCCGAATGCAGGGGGTCTCTCGATGGAGACCGTCCGTTCGATCTCTGCAAAATTTTTATGATTTTATGATTTCCTTTTTCAAACATGAAGTTTTATGACGTTTGTTCGTTGTGAGACCCGTTCCCCGAAGTGACCCAGGTTTTATTTGTCAACACAACAATAAAATGTTGGAGATTGGGTTCGGCTGAATTGTGTATTCTGAAGGAATGGGGAATATTTGCAAAGGCAAAGTTAGAACGCTTGCTAAAAAGTAGAGTAAATTTGTGAAAAAATTGGCTGGGCGATCAGAAATCTTTTAAAAACTGAAACATCATAAAGTACCGTAGTATCTGTAATACATAGGCTCATAATTTTTCACTTTGAGCTCAATTATCTCGGTTCCTGTCAAATATATCAAAAAGTCGGCAACTAATAAATTGTTTATCATAATATTAGAAGCATTTTATCAGTTGACAAATGTTTGATATTTTACACAGGAATCGAGATAATTGAGTTCAAAGTCAACGGTTCGGATGAGCTTCTATTTTTCAACCTCTTCCTCAGGGTGGGCTTCTATTAGAGATGGGCTTCAATTAGAGGGTGGGCTTCTATTTTTCAATGAATAATTTTCAAAAAAATTTTTGTTCAAAAAATTAGAAATTTGACAATTCGGAAGATAAGAATTCCGAACTTCGGTGTTTTTTTTAAATTAGAAGTTTTAATTCTGCAATATTATTGAAATTGAGAACGTTTTGATCTTAAGGTCTCAGAATCGACAATTTCTGAACACCTCAAAGTTATTCAGAATTAAAAAATACGAAAATAAATTTTTAGGGACTGAAAAATTTGGGATACTTTCCATTTTTCGGAAAATCCACTTGATTTTTCAAGCTATCCGGGCGGTTGAAAACGGCCGTTTGAGGAGTTGGTACAAAACAGTGCAAAAAAGGAGGATATTCACCTGTCGAATCCTCGAATTTCAAGTTTCTGCGCAAAAACCAAAGCCTGAAAATCTAAAATTCCGAGATTCTCTATTTAAATACCATTGTGAAGCTTCGAAATCCTCTCTATATCTCATCAAAACAAACTTTTCCAGTTTTTTCCTAAAAATTGATACTTTTCATCATCCTCCAGTAGTTTTTGTCCCACATGACCAAATCCTATTTCCTCAAAACTCAAAAACCATTCTTTTTTCCCTCCAAACTGTCTCTTTTCTTCCTCTACCTTCATTTACACCCCCGCGTTTTTGCGTTGGGGGCTCTTTTCGTTAACTAAAGAGTCGTTTTGTTTATTTTCTCTCTGCGTCTCTTCATCTCACACACTATTTCCGGTTTCACGTAGCTTCACCGGGGCGCGAAACAGAGAGGAGAAAGGTAAAATAAAAGAAGATTTTACAAACAAAATTCCCTTTTTCTTCTGCTACTGGCATCATCTCATAGAGGTGTGCGGCGCTTCCTTACTATGTTGTAAATGACAAAAAAAATTGAAAGCAAATAGTAAAAAGAAGGAAGAAAAATTGGAAAAGAAGAGGAAGAAGAGTTTCATGGTCATCTGAATTTTATGGGGGAAACCAGAAGGCACTTCTTCTTGTGCATTTCGGATTAATGGAATCCAGAGATGGGAAACATGGACAGAAAGATGAGCAATACTATGCAAATCAAACGGATGTCGTTGTTTTGGAATTTTCGGGAAGTTGTGAAAGGGGGCGGAGCCAGTTTCATGGAGCATTTTTAGGGGTTTTTGGACAATTGAGAATGATAGAAATGGACAAGTGGATTTGGAGACTCTTGAATTTCCGAAAATGTGAGAGTTCTAAAAATCAGCGATTCGAAAATCTAGTCGAAAGTTTAAGATTTGAAAATTCCAGAACCAGAAATTCGAGTCAAAATATATGAATCATAAGGTAACAAGGTTCGGGAACTATGAATCTGACGAATCTCAGAATCGCAGAATCTCAGAAACTCAGAATCGCAGAATCTCAGAATCTCAGAATCTCAGAATCTCAGAATCTCAGAATCTCAGAATCTCAGAATCTCAGAATCTCAGAATCTCAGAATCTCAGAATCTCAGAATCTCAGAATCTCAGAATTTCAGAATTTCAGAATCTCAGAATCTCAGAATCTCAGAATCTCAGAATCTCAGAATCTCAGAATCTCAGAATCTCAGAATCTCAGAATCTCAGAATCTCAGAATCTCAGAATCTCAGAATCTCAGAATCTCAGAATCTCAGAATCTCAGAATCTCAGAATCTCAGAATCTCAGAATCTCAGAATCTCAGAATCTCAGAATCTGAGAATCTCAGAATCTCAGAATCTCAGAATCTCAGAATCTCAGAATCTCAGAATTTCAGAATCTCAGAATCTCAGAATCTCAGAAGCTCAGAATCTCAGAATATCAGAATTTCAGAATTTGAAAAAAATTTGAAAAATTCTGAAATTCTAAAATTATTCAAAGATTCTAAAATTTCAACAATTCGGAAATGAAAAAACGCGAAGAGTCTTATTTCTATCTTTCCGATTTCTCGAGTTTTGAAACCTCTGAATTTCATAAATTAATTTCAGATTTTTTGAAGCTTTACCTTTTTCCAGCCAGGATTTTACAATAGAAATTTCTCAGTTCTCTGAGTGTTCATATAGTTTTTTGAAATTTTTTGATTTTAAGGAAGCTAGGTCTCGACACGAACAAGCGTCTTTCAGGATTTGTATTTCGAATTTTATGATACAAAAAAAAAACTCACGACATCAGAATAGGAGTGTGCCTGGCTTGGTGGTCCGAGTGACTTGCGGGAACTATAAACAGAATGCTGATGTTGTTGTTGATTATGGGTCTGTTGGGCATAATTTGGACCATTGTAATGGTCAAGCCTTTGTTGGAGTTCGCGCATCATCTCGAGCCGATAGGGGGACGGTGGGAAAAGTGATAAGAAGAGATTTTTTGGGTTTTTTCGGGGAAGTAGGTACTCCCGCCCTTTCTCTATTACTCTGAATCTCTCTTTTTTTGACAAACAATAGGAAGAGAGATCTTCTCTCTCTCTCTCTCTCTCTCTCTCTCTCTCTCTCTCTCTCTCTCTCTCTTCCGAAATGATTTGCGACACACGGGAGCAGGAGTCTCTTCTTGCTCCACGGGAATGTTGTAGCAGTAATATGCGTGTTTTAGGCCCCGTGTGTATGTGTGTTATTAGTCGTTTTTGCTGCTCAGAATTTGTGTTTGAGTGAGAGATTAAGAGACGCAGAGGGATGGATGGCACACGGGAGCAACGGAGGACAAGTAAATGTACCTATGACCCTGGAACCGCAGAAATGTCCTCAAGGCAAGAGAGGAAGCGGGGAGCAAAAATGTACTGGGGGATTTGAATTATAGGCTTGACCATTTGAGACATGTTGGAAATCTTATAAACACTGGGATTCACTGGATTCCTGGATTCCTGGATCCCCAGATTTCTGCATTTCTGAATTTCAGGATTCCTATATTTCAAAATTACAGAGTTCTTGGATCCCTAGATATTAGGATCCTGGATCCTGAATCCGGGATTCTTGAAGTTCTTGATTTTAGGATTTCAAGATCTTTGTATATCAGGATTCCAGGATTTCTGGTTTCTTAAATTATTTAATCTGGAGCATTAATCTGGAGCATTCATTAATCCGAAAATCGGTTTTCAAAATTCCGAATTCGGTCTTAAATAGCCTAAATATTGTCTAATAGTAAGAACGGCCTGAAACGGTCCGAAAAAAAGAGTCGATTTTTAACTTGAAAACCTTTGAAAATGGCCCCGAAAGGTGTAATTTTCACCTCTAAAAGCCTAAAATTGCCTAAAAATGATATAATTCGGGAATCCTGAGTTTTCATGTTTTCGAAATGTGTTTTTGAATTCTCAAATGTTGAATTTTGTATTATAGTAATTAGATTTCAGAAATTTTCCAGAGCCATTTTTAAATTGCAGAAACTCATAATTATAAATATTGTAAACATTCTAATAGAAGGCTACACTTTACCTGCACCGTGATTCAATTTATCTCGGTTCCTGTAAAAGATATCAGAAAGTAGTCAACTGATGAAGTGTTTGTTATAATGTCAGAAACATTTTATCAGTTGACAACTTTTTCGTATCTTTCATAACAAACGAGATAAACTGGCTTGAAGCTGACCCTCCTATTAAAGGTTTAACGGTAGCTTGACCAAATTCTCTTTTTTAAAAGATTTTAAAATTCCCATTTAAATCGCAATTTTTTTCCAAATTCCCAGCAAGTCAGAGTCCCAAGTTTTCAGATGTGGTTAGTTTCTAAAATTTCAAACAACAAAAAAAACAAGAGTTACCTGCTCGCTTGAATGGGTTCCTCGACTTGAGACAAAAGACTCTGAACACTTGGACGAGATGAACGACGAGAATAGACTGGTTGGTTAGGTTCTGGTCCATTCTCTACAGAAAAAATTCAATGGACATGAAACTAGACAAAACAAACCATAAATTCTTTCAGGACTCTTTGAATATTCTCTTCCTTCGGATGCTCTTCTTTTGTAATTTGACACATTTCCGTTACTGAAAAACCAAATCACGCGGTTAGATAAACATTTAGGTTAGAACAAGGATTAAATAGAATTCAAAACGTTACCTTTGAGACTCCATAGTTCTTTGAAGATCATAAGAATCTCCTCCAAAATCATCACGACCTGGGAACGACGGTCGCTGATATGAGCTCTGCGGAGGACTTCAGTCGTGTGCTGGAGGTCCGAAAGAAGGGCTTCTGAAAAAAATTTAGGTGGTTTGAATTGTAAAAAACAAAGAAATTTGGTTTTAATTTTTTTTTCTATCAGTTCTATCAGGGAAAAAATTGAAGGTTTTTGGCATTGGCCGAATTTGGAAAGTCTCAAAAAGCAGACCAATTTTAATGGACATTTTCAAAGATTTCTCAAAGTATCGACAAAAATATAAAGTTCCTTTTTTCAAAACAAAAATTAGATTCGATTCGATTCACAAATTTGCCGTCTTCTAGTTTCTGAATCTCTAAATTTTTCGCTTTTCAGAAGTTTTCCCATCGTCAACATAGAAGACCACCCAAAACGTCAACTTTGAGCTCGACTATCTCGGTTACCATGAAAGATATCACAAATTTGTCAACTGATAAAATGCTTATCATTTTGTCATATATATTTTCTCAGTTGACAAATTTTCGATATCTTCTGAACGAACCGAGGTAATTGAGCTCAAATTTGGCTGTTTAGACGGGCTTCTATACGACATACTCACATTTTCCTTTTCTTGAAAAATTACGGGATTTTATTGGGCATTTACTTAAGTATAAGAACCCAATTATAATCTCGTTCGGAACCCACTAAACCCATAAAATCCCTCAAACTATTTCCGTTTCATAGAATTCTAAAGAATTTCAAAACTACTCCACGCTTCCATGACTTTCTCTATTCATCTATTCAGATTTTAAAATTTCTTTTCCGTTTACCTAGAGCCGGTTTAACCGCATCGGCGAAACGATCGTCGCTTGGCATTTTACTGGAAAAAATAAGGAAAAATATAAAAATATGAAAACAGAAGGGTCCTTGTAGTCTTGAAGAAGTGCCAAAAATATGTGTGAAGAAAGGGGTACTAAAAGAGAAGAAAAAGAGGAAAAAAAAGGAAAAAAAAAGAAGAGAAAAAGATTTATGGAGATGACAAAAAATAGAGGAGTCTGAGGCATCTGGAGACATGAAAAAATGAAGAATGCTCTTTTTTTATTTTTAGGAAAAAAACGGAGACTTTGAACTTCAAAAGATCTCAAGTAGATAAAGATCATCGTCGTGATGCTAAAGCTCCTTTTTGGAAAGTTTTTGGAGGATTCGAAAAAGTAAAATTTTCAGAACTTCAAATCTAAAGAATCAGAGAATTCAGATTTCCGATTTTTTAAGAACTTAAAACATCCGAGATTCAAAAATTCTGAAATTCCGAAATCCAATAATCCAGAGGTATCTATAAATCTAGAAATCCAGAAGTACTAGCAAGATCAGAAGTTCCGAGAAATTTTGAAAATTTCCAAAACCCAAAAAGTCAAAATTTTCGAAAATTCGAAAAAATCAAAAAATCAAAAAATTTTAACTTCAGAAATTCCGAAAATTCAACTAGACAATTTATTAAACTCTAAAAACTTATGAATCTTGAGCATCAAGAATCATTTTACGCGGAACTAAAAGACTATAAGAAAATTAATTAGACTAATTGGGTGCTTAATCTAATCAGTTTGTGATTAGATGTCTTAATTAGTTTTTTTTTGCAAAAAAACATGAAAGAATGTAAGCTGATTTCTGATTTCAAACTGAAAAGAAAACATAGTTTTATTATCTCGATAATTAATGGTAACTTAATTCAGAATTGCTAATTTTTCAATTTATGAACTCAAAATTTTTATCCCACTTCAAAAACTGTCTTTTCCAAAACATTCCACAACAAAAACAACAGAATAAAAACAAGGAACCACTCTTCTTCTTCTTCTTTTCTCGAAATCTGGCCCCTAATCTTGAGAGTTTAGGTTTTTGAAAAAAAAGATAGAGGAAATAGTTTATAAGATGAAGAGACGGAGAGAAAAGAAACGACACATAAACGACACATAGTGGCAAAAAAGAGCGCCAGTTTTGTTTTTGAATTTCGGAAAAGAAAAAGAAGAAAAGGAATCGGAGAAGAAGAACAGGACACACCCCTTGGAAGCAAGAAGGGGGAATTGAATTCTGAGATTTAGGAGGAAGAAAAAAGAGAACATGAATCAAAATTTGTTGAATAGGAGATATGTGCGGAATGGACAGTATTGGACAGTTTAAAAAATTGAGAGAAAAAAACAGAATGCCTATCCAAACCATCAACTTTGAGCTCAATTATCTCGATTCCTGTAATAGATATCAAAAATCTGTCAACTCATAAAATACTGGTTTCTCATAATATCACTAAAATTTTATCAGTAGACAAATTTTTGACATCTTTCACAGAAATTGAGATAATCGAGCTTAAAGATAACGGCTCGATCGGTCTTCTATGAGAGGAAATACGGTAACTTTTGTTGGCAAAATATTATCAGCCATGAAAATGTATTGAGTTTTTGCAGACAGTTTAGATGACTGCGTTCAAAAAGAGGAACAAAAATCGTACCAGACTAGCTGAAATAGTTTATATGGTCAAACGAAGAAAAAAAAGTTTCTCTGGAAACCTGGAAACTCAACAAATATCACATAGTTTAGCTCCGATTTTCTATATCTCCTAACTGATAAAAAACTAAAAGCTTCTTGAAAAATGTACAAAAAACGCGTCAAGGGTTTGCGAGGAATGTTGCATGTGCTTACTACTCCTCCTCTTTTGATGACAAGTTTCTTTGCCGACGGTGGATATAAATATAGATTTAGGGGTAGAAAAGAAAGATAGAGAGATTTAGAAAAACGGTAATCCAAATAAAACGAGCGAGGGGGTTTCAAGTAGTCGAGAAGAAGACGAAAAAAAAGTTGCATCAAGAAAACGAGAGGGATCAATAGAAAAAAGTGATTGGAAGAATAGAAGAGGGATGAAATCACAGCTGTTCGTGTTGCTAAACAGACAGAAAAATGTGGAATCATGAGAAGAAGAAGAAGTGATAGAAAAGAAGAAAAAGAAGAAGGTGGGCGGAAGTGATCAGAGATTTTGAGAAATGTGGATGAAATTAAAAGAGAGATAGGCATGAGGATACATATTGTAGTTCTTTGGAAAGAGCAAAAGAAGGAAAGCTTTGAATGCAGATCACTGTACTTCCTCTGATAGAACGGGATTTCGTTTTTGCTCTTTGACGTAATGGTCTTTTTGTAAGAGGGCATAAAACCTGTAATGGAACGGTCCCCTAACTCTGAGCGAATTTATCTTTACTCCTGTCAAAGATATTAAAAAGTTGTCAACTAATAAATTGTTTGTCAAATTATCAGAAGTATTTTGTCAGTTGACAGATTTTTGATATCTTTATTAGCAACCGAGATAAACTAGCTCAAACTTGACAGTGTGGGAACCCTTCTATTACAGCTATTACGGCATCTCAATTTCTGTAAGAAATATCTGTTGATCATAACATCAGGAACATTTTAATATAAACTAGTAGTTTATCCCTCGTCTCATACATCGCAAGGACATAACAGATTTACAGAAATTTTTTTATTTTTTACAGAGATTCAAATAATGAATTTCAAAGTGCTCAAAGTGCAAGTATCCGGATGGCGTTCTAATTGCGGAAATACGGTATTTCAGACAGTAGCTCACTATTAGTATCATTTTTAACAAAAACAAAAAAAAATCATAGAAGGGATTATAATTGTTGTAACTATAATTATAAGTTTTATATTGTATGATTCACTGATTTTCAGTAATCAAAGTCAAAGTATCTTCCTCAAAGAAAGACAGAGAATCGAAATGCATTTCTAGTCATTACACCAACTATTTAACTAGTACTTTTTCATAGTTTTTGGTAATATCTGAAAATAATAAGAACTGAATATACGCTAAAATCTGGAATAGAAATACCCTCACGCGGTCAAGTTTGAGCTCAATTATCTCAATTCCTAAGCAAGCTATCAAAAATGTGCTAACTGACAAAGCTCTTCTGACATTATGATAAGCATTTCATTAGTTTACCACTTTTTGTTATCCTTCACAGGAACCGAGAGAAACTGGCTGAAATTTGAAAATTAGGGAGCTCTTCTGTGGAGGGTCAACATCTTCTATTACAGATCTTACGGTAGTTTAGTAGTTATTGGAAATTTCCTAATTTCAAAAAATGCCTTTTAGAGTCTATCCAAAGAAATATTATGTAAGTGGCTGCATAGCACAGATGGTTAGAAGTGAAGGAGGACACACACTTTGGAATGAGAAAAAGATATCAAATATCAGGTTACATTCCACTGGGTGGGGCCAGAGAGAGAGAGAGAGAGAAAAGGTGCTCAAGGATTCTTGTATTTTCTGAGAAAGGAATGGATGGAGAGGTCAAAGGTCTCATTTAGGTTCTAGGAGAAAACATTTCTAGAATGATTCCTAAAACATTTGGAATCCCAGCTAAATTGACTTCCTAGACTACAAAAAAACTTCGAAATTTCATCGTTAATAGAAATTTTTGGATCTGTTATGTTTGAGCTTAATTATCTCGGTTCCTATAAAAAATATCGAAAAAATATCAACTGATAAAATGTTGCTGATATTATGATGAACAATTCATCATTTAACAACTTTCTTTGTATCTTAGAAAGGAACCGAGATAATTGAGTTTAAAGTAAACGTATATGATGGGCTTCTGTTAGAGCATTTATAGTAGGTGACTTGGGAAGTATTTTAACGTTTTGCCGGTTTTAAATAATTTTTTCTCCATTTTTTTTATGAAGGTCATCTTCATGATTTTTTGGTTAAATTTCAAAACTAAAAACTCACCCAGCCGATCTACTGCTGTTGTCATCTTCTACCTCTCCGTCTTATTGCTTTGTTTCTGAAAAACGAATAAAATTCAAATGGATTTCAATTCCAAAAAACAGAACGATGTCTTGTCCTTGGAGAATCCAAGGAACACACTGCTTCATATTGTAATTATACCGACACGGATGAGTGGCACGGGGAACCAAGGAAAATGGGTTAAAAACGAAGAAAAAGAGAATGAATACCGTGGGAGAAGCTTCTAGGACACACCAAAAAAGAACTCAAAGAAGAAAAAAAGAGGGTAATGCATCAGAAAAAAGAGAGAGGGAAGAGAGAAAAGAGAGTGCACATTATAATGATGTCGACGTCATACAGTACCTGATGACCCCAGTTGTCTCTGCGTCTCTCTCTAGCTTATACTATTTCTCTCTGCTCTCATGCCATTCAAATGGTCAGCAGAAAGGATAGAGACGGATGAGGAAGGAAGGGGTTATCTTGATGAAAGAGGTGGTTCTACGGGAGGTGGTAAAAAAACAAAACCGTACTGATGAATCATTTGAAGGGAGAGAGAGAGAGTGTGGAAGAGGAAGAGACGCAGAGAGGGAGGAGTAGAAGAAGAAGTTTATGTTTTCTACTGTTGGTGGCAGAATAAACATTTGTATATATACATTTATATAATTGGAACTGAAAAAGGGCGACAAAAAATGATTGATGGTTAGGTTGGAGTAACAAACTAGTTCGATTTATGGAAGAGTCCAAAAAATAATATGAAGTTTCGGATTTTCAGTGTATACGAACTTCCAGAAATTTGTAACTCGAATGTATGAGTTTTTTTCGAAAAAAAAAATAGAAAAAACACAAAATTTCCAAGATACCAGAAAATTGACTATAACTAGGCTGAAAACCAACCAATCTAGATGAAACTTTGATTTTTTGAATTTTACGAGTCAAAAGCTTCAAAATGAGTATACCCATGCTCAGGTTCATAAAAATTTGAATTTCGGGTTAGAGGCGCAGTGTTTTTGGCTTCTCTGATTCTAGCCTTGTTAACGAATAAGGCGGTAACTTGTCTCGTTTTGGTCATTTTTCGAAAATTCAAGAATTTTGAGTTTTGTGCGTCCAGTGCTTCAAAGCGAGTATACTCATGACTATATTCCTTTAAGTTTGAAATTTGAGTTTTAATGCGCACAGGGTTGTCCGAAAAATGAAATCTGAGGAAAGTTGGTCATGATTATACTCATTTTAAAGCTGAAGACTAGCTAAGTATGAAAATCAAAATTTCATTAAAATTGAACAAGGTTCAGCAAAGTTAATGTTATTTCTCTGAATATTTAGGATTTTTAAATTTTTTCGAAAAGTTAAACTTTTCAAATTTGGCCATGTTTATACTCATTTTGAAGCCCTTGACTAGCCTAACTCAAATATTTTTGAGCTTCTGAAAACTGCCAAGAACGAGCCAAGTTACAACCCTATTTGTTAACGAGGCTAAAATCAGAGAAGTGAAACACAAGTCTCTAACCCAAAATTCAGGCTTGATTATACTCATTTTGAAGCTATGGATGCACAAAACTCAAAAATCAAAGTTTCATCTAGATTGGGTGGTTTTCAGCCAAGTTATAGTCAATTTTACGAAAATTGGGAAACTTTTGATTTTATAAAATATCAAATTATCAGGAGGGAGCTGATATTCCAACGTTTCATACAATTTTTTTTTGAATTTCCAAAAATTCTCAAAAATCTCTTTTAGTTTCTTTCGAATTTTGTGAAATCTTGAAAAGAAAAATTCTAAATTATTCCCTAAATTTCGGAAACTGACCATCATAAAACCCACGACCATCATAACATATTTGAGAGAGTGAAAACACCCATAAAAATAGATATTCTCTCTTCTTCTTCCCCCTTTTTGTCCATTCAAATTCGTTCCGTCTGTTGTCCGGTTTTGTTCATTTTTGGAGAGACTAGAATCATGACGCCCCGTTCCCCAGAGAATTTTGTAATATTTTATGAGTTTTTTCACTTTCAACGAGAAAAGAGGAATCTGTTGTTAGTTTTCCCGACAAAACCTAATCGTTCCGTTCATTTTCTCTGGTCCATAAAAAAGCTGATTTGAATTTAGCGCCGAAATGTCGATGTACCGTAATCCGAAATACACTTTGGAAGGCAATTCGCGGCGAGACCCGCCAAAAATTAGTGAAAAAAAGAGTTTTATTGTTTTGAAAGTGTTTCTTTTTAATTGTTTTTAATAGGTTATTATATTTTTTAATAAACAATAGATTTAAAAAAAGAAGAGTCAATGCACTTGAAAATGTGAGAAAAAGGTTTCGAAAAAAGCCCTCGAGCCTGCAAAAAATGATTCGAGGAGAGTGGTGGTGGAGGTGTTTATCTTCTCAGTGACTCATCTAAAAAAGGGCAAAAAAACGGGAATCTTCTTTTTCGAACGACTACAGTTGTATTCAGAAGTCGGGTCTCTTTTAAAAGTACATTTGCACAAATCGGAAGTGTCAGAGCAAAGAAGAAGAAGAAGAAACTTCTTCTCCGGAAATATCTTCGGAAGGAGCGGGCAGACAAATTGAATCAACTATACCAAAAAAGAAGATTTCAGAAGATGGAGAAGAAAAGAAGAACAAACAAAAAGTGTTATTTTCTCCATGAGGAATCGATTCTTTCATAACTTTTTTTGGGTTTTTTTGGAGTTAAAAAAGCGGATGTCTTTAAGAAGACTGGATGATGAATAAGTAATAAGTAGCGAGAAATAGAGATAAAGAAGAAGAAATAGTGGTAAGTGGTAATTGTAGGTCATCCGATAAGATAAAGGATGTCTAGGGGATGAAACGGGATTCATCCTTGAAGCTGTAGTGGTTTCCTGAAAAAATGTTTCCAAAAAATCATTAATCTCATAAAACAGTTTATATATGGTCCAGGAATTGGTTTAGATTCGGGTACATAAAAGAATAATGGTTAGAATATTCGATATTTTAAAACTGGTTACATTTTTTTTGGTAAAACGAAGAGAGTGTTGAGTTGTTGACCAATTGGAACAGTGAAAAAATAAATTATTGAGGCGAGAATCCGAAATTGAAAAGTGAGAGATTATGCAACAGGAATGGGAAAATAAATATATAAGAAAATAGGAGAAAGTTATAATTATTTCTTCGCTGGAGCACTCGCTTTATCGCCAAACTCGATTTGACACAAACGGCATGAGTACTCATCATCAGGAGCCTTTTCGAGAGGCGGATTAAGACAATAGAGATGGTATCCACGGTCGCAGTCATCACAGAAGAGTAATTTATCCTGAAAAACCAATTTAAAACGAATTTTAATGAAAACAAAAAAGAATCAAAACTCACATCGTTTTCACTGGTTCCACAAATGGTGCAACTCTTGCACTCGAGACACTGCCACCCGCTTCTTTTAATAATCATGGTTACGTTTTGATTGAAGCTCATACACGACGGATGACCAGACCGTCCACAATCATGACAACTAACGAGGTCTTCGGGCAACCGAGAGTTTTTATTCATGTAGCTTGTACCATTGCAGAAATCACAGTTAGTAGATATATCGACACTAGGAGACAGTACTGAAAGTTATTCCAAATAATAGAAGATGGAAATACCATCAAGTGACTTACGAGAGTCCAACGAGTTACTAGTTTTTCTATCGTGCAAGTAGGCTTGATGGTAGCTTAGACCCGCGAGGCTCTTGTATTTCGCGTCGCATTCTGAAAAGGATAATTGGATTGAGATCTTGAAAAGTCACAGTATTTAAGCTGCCAGAACACTCAAACATGCTAATTTCTTATTTGTGCTTATATTTTTCTCTAGCTTTTAAAAATTAACTTCCTCTCGATCGACCCTTTTCGCGCGAGACAGAGACACCAGTGCTGGGTTGTCAACGGATTTTTAAAGGATCCCTCTCGCTCAAATTTCAATTTTAACAGAGGGATGAGACGCTAGGAGGGGAGAGGAAAGGATGAGAATCAGAAGACATTATAAAAGAGTTCTAGAAGATAACTTAACTTAGAAGTGCAGTTTCAAACATTCTACCTATCACGAGCACTATTGAATCGATGTTAGAAAATTGAAACCACGATACATCTACCATCTATATGTATACCGTATTTCCTCTCATAGAAGCCCACACAAAAAATCAACTTTGAGAAGTTATCTCGATTTCTGTAAGCGATATCAAAAATCTGTCAACTGATAAATTATTAATCATGATACCATTAATATTTTATCAGCTGACAAACTTTTGATATCTTTTAGAGAAATCAAAATAATAATTATAACTCAAAGTTGAAGCTTTGGATGTGCTTATATCAGAAGAAATGCGATATTTCAAAATGACTAGTAACTTTTTTTTGCATGCATAACAATAAAGCTCATGCAAAACCTTGATGTCTCTTCTTCTGCGAAGTGAGGAAGCTCAATATTGTCAAAATCAAAAAAGACACGATGGTGGTGTTCCCGGTAACTGACATGCTGTGGACAAAAAATTCTTTCGAATGAGAAAAAAGGTGCTAGAAAAGGACAAGGAGAGATCTATTCTCCGACGGTTGGGTATAGGCGAGAGGAATCCTTCCGAATCCGTACAACCACTCACTGTCACACTGATGCATCTTCTCTTCCGGCTCCTCAAATTTCACTTCTTTAACTGTGCGGGACGGGGTCGATCGGGAGGCTGATGAACGAGTTGTTGGTACCTAAAGAGGAATGCTGAAATATGCAAGCGAGCCTTACACTTACCTTCTTGCGAGATGAAGAATGTCCCTTTTGGTTGGTATTCATATGCCCCTTGCGGCGTTTTCCACGCGTCGACCATTCGTCTTCATCAGATCCGAACTCATCAGGAGAGAGCTCATCGTCTAGGACATAGTCCTCACGATACTCCTCCTTGATTTGGGTTTGACGAGAAGGTCTGGCGCTTGTTGAATCATTTGAATTATCCGAAACACTTTCTGCAAATCGAACTAAACGAACTAACAGAGCATGTTCAGTGAATAGTTCTTACCCATGGTACTGGTTGGAGCTTGCGGAGTAAGATGATCGATGGCAACTTGAATCGAAGGGTTTTCTCTTAAGAACATGTTCATCTCAATTGCATCCGATGGTTGATGCGATTTGCTCTTCTTCCATCGCTCGGTAGAAAATTGCATGACACAGTTTGGATCATTCGAAGAATACGCATGATCTGCTGTACGAGTGGCGAAACGAGCTTCTCTTTGAGCTGTGGCAGTTTGATGCTCATAGTAGGGGAACCGCAATCTGCAACTTTCAGGGGCTACAACTTTGCTTCAATATTCTTTGTCCAAAAGTAACTTTTAATCCCTTCTCCTCCAACTTACCGTTTTTTGCGATCCTCCATTTGCCGACTGTTCCATTTGATGCAGTTCCGCATCAGGTCCATATATCCGTTTTCCGAGATCATTGTCTGAAAGATTAGCTGTCGTATTTTATTTTTAAACGTTTTGATGTCTCAAATAAAGCTGTCCGGCGAAAACAAATACGGAAACAAGGCGACTCAATGCTGGATCGATACGCAGGACTCGAGCCGCTTTTTTGCCAACGGCCGCAAACACGGCGACGCAAATTTGCAGACAATACAGCGTGGACTCGTTGGCTTCAGGACCTTTCGTTCCCCATTTCACCTTCGTTTCCGGCCTAATATTCAGAAAATCTTTGAAATCCCGGGTCAAAATATTGTATATTTTATCTAGTTTCTTGAAACCTTACATTAGTCATAAATTAAAGGCGATTACGCTTACTAAAAACGCAGGACCCTCATCTCAGGCTCAAAATTTGATTTCCAATTTTTGAATATTTTCTGTCATAACGGTATGTCTTCAACGAGGATGCCTATCATTTTTGGCCGGTTTACCAAACACTCACTTTTAGCAAGCCACATATAAGAAATTAGCATATCTGAACTCCCACGTGGCACTTCTGCCAGACAGCTATAGCTCCAGCACACTCTCCGTCTTCCCATGTCTCTCATCGTTACTGCCTTTCACATCATACATTTTCTTCTATACTTTTCGGTTTCCCGGAGAATCTTCCTTCATTTTATAACCATTCTCTTTTAGTTCTCTTCCCATCAGGCTATGACTGCCCATTTGTTATCGTTTCGCAAACAACTTGACCTCGATAACAGAGGTGTTTTGTTGGTTATCGATGCATTATTACCGATTTCTCGTTTCTACTCGTTTCCACTTATTTTTCTCAAAAAAATCCTTAATTGTGCAGGGTCACCATGAACGTCTTCCGTATAGCGGCTGATATGGCGCACTTGCTTGCGATCATCATTCTCCTGCTCAAAATCTGGAAGAGCAGATCGTGCTCCGGAATCTCGGCTCGTTCGCAGATTCTGTTCGCTATCGTGTTCACTGCTCGCTACTTGGATCTTTTCACCACCTACATTTCGCTTTACAATACGTTCATGAAGGTATTCTGTTGTTTGATCGACTAATTCAAATAAACATATTTGTTTTCAGATCACATTCCTTGTTGCCACCTACGCTACCGTGTACTTCATCTTCTTCAAGTTCCGTTCAACCTATATGCGCGAATCGGACACTTTCCGCGTTGAGCTTCTTATCATCCCATCTGCGATTCTGGCTTTCCTCATCAATCACGACTATGCTCCATTCGAACTCCTCTGGACTTTCTCCATCTACTTGGAAGCTGTTGCTATCCTTCCACAGCTCTTCCTTCTTCAATCTACTGGTTCCGCTGAGGTAAGGGATGTGTGAATAATATTCTCCCGTTGTGAGCAATATAAGATAATTGCGACCCGGAATGAGATGCATACATACGAAATATTTGCCCTCCATCGAATTTCGAATTGGTGGTCATCATTTTAATGTTGCGCTGTTGTCTGAAGAGACGCAGAAGACGTTAGACTAGCACTTGAACCTTCCTCTCTCTTCTGTTTCTATTTGTCATTCTTGCAGGTCATCACTGCTCACTACTTGTTCGCTCTTGGCTCATACCGTGGTCTCTACATCTTGAACTGGATCTACCGTTACTACACCGAGGAATACTTCGATCCAATCGTTGTTGTCGCCGGAATCGTCCAAACTGTTCTCTATGCCGATTTCTTCTATCTCTACGTCACCCGCGTTGTCCAAACCCGCAAGGGAATGGAGCTTCCGATCTAAACGAACGATTTCCTATTTATTATCTGGCGTTTTTCCTACTACGAGGTTATATTAATCTGATGGAGTAGATGATTTTACAAAAATTGTAGTCAGCTACTCATTTTTTTTGTTGGTTTTTTTTTGTTTTGGGAGATGATAAACGAGTGAGCCAGCAGCCAACATCCTTTTAATTTATTTCCGTGTGTGATATTATTTATGGGGATTACCAGAAATTTCCGATGTTTTTAATAGAGGTTTTAATGTATAAATAATGAAGTTCTTTTTTCAATACTTGGTTTCGCAATTTGATTATTTCATAACCTCAAGCTTTGAGAACCGGTTCGTTGCCCGTTTCATGTCGGATCTCAAAAATTTTAGTTAACTTATTAAATTGCATTTTTCAGGAAAAAAAAGTTCTTTGGAAAGGGTTCATCAATTCGAAAGTATTTCGAGAACGATGTCAGCTAACGCTAATTGGGATGACAGCGGTTAGTTTTTTTCTAGAACATTTTAGGATTAGGATGAGCAAGACGGTTTACCTAAAATTTGCAATGAGTAATGCTACCATAAACCGATTTTCATTTTCAGACAGCGAAAACGAGAACGTGGTTGTCGAGGAGAAGCCGGTGATTCTACCTCGCGCCCGGCAGCCTTCGATAGCGAAAAGTTTGGAGAAAGTGCAAATTCTCGAGAACAGTGTCGCCGGATCGGAGAAGAACGCTTCGGACGACGACTCGGACGCCAGCTCAGTTATATCTGATGATATGGAAGGTATTGGAGAAGACAACGAAGTGTTGAACTTTTCATTAGATCAACTCCAAATGCTCAAAAGAAATCTTGCTCAATTCCCATGCAGTTATAAGAATATTATCAGCGAATTCGCTGATGTGGAAATTTTTCTCATTTCGATCGATTCTCTTGTCGTAGAGTGTGCTGCTCACAGCTACCATAACTGGGATGTAGCCGGACAGTCATTGGTCCTCAACAAGCAAATCGACAGATTCCTTCAACAATTCGTTGATATCGGAGGACGCTTCAAACTCATTGTATTCTCCGATTTCACAGCTCAATTCGCTAAGGATACCACCCTTTCTTTCGCCAGATCGGCTGCTTTGGCTCATCTCGGCAATGGTCCATATGCAAGAGATCTCCTTTTCTTCACGAACCCAACTGATCCAGAATGGGATAAACTTCTGAATGATCTGACGCCGTCTTTCCTCATGATCTCAACTGACAACGTGACACCAAATGTGTGTGCAACACCTGAGATTGACTTGACCAGACAGTTCGAGACTATTGGTAAGTGAATAATATCAACCGATGACGTTATATAAAAAAGATACTTTCAGCATTCGATGTGCTCACTCGATCGATGTCAGTTGTTCTTCTGCATTCAATCAAAGTGAACTTCGTTTCTGTGGAAGCTTACTACATCCAGCCATGCCTTGTCATTGCTCCAGATTGGCCGGCTTTCCTTGCTGCTCATTGGGACAACAATGGGACACTTCTCCGTAACCATCTCAGCAAGGCGATCAAGTTCAATCAATTCGAAACCCCAGCTGATCTGTGGGTGAAGATTATCACCGATGCTAAAGCTACAGGAAAAGGATCGGACACTTTTGACACTCTAGCAGCCGCCGTTATTCTTTCTTCATTGATTTGTAGTAGAAGAGGAGCTCATAGAGTGTATTATCCAGCTCGTGAGGATGCTAAACGAGGATTGAACGTTATCAGAGATAGACGATTGATCCTTAATGCCGCTGTTGTTCTTCTTGATAAGGCGGATCATGCGGTGAGTGTCAATGACTTGAAAACATATAGTTCTCGTTTTTTCAGAACTCAAAAATCGATCTCACTGATTTGTGGGATGGTCGTATGGTTTATTCAATCTTCGATGAGCTCTCTGCGAACCAAACAGTCCTTCCATATCGCCTTCAAGAAGATTTCGCCAAGTACCATCAAAAGGCCGGACTCTCTGTTCCACTTGCAACTGATACTAATGAGAAGCTCTTTGACCCAGTGCCAGAAATTACGGATCCACTTCTTGACTTGCCAGTTCTCTACAGTGTTACTTCTCCAATGATTAAGAGATTTGTCCCTGAAATTGAGAAAATGACTTCTCAGAATGCAGTAGAAGAAGGATCAGTGCAAGATTACGCTGATTATTTGAAAGAAACTTCACAATGGAGATTCAAGCCAATTGAAGAGACCTACGCACAGAAGGAAGAGAAAATCGAGGATGCTTGGCAGTTGAAGAAAGCCAATCGTTCAAAGCAATTCCTGATGAGATGGTACGAACTCTTCGCCAATTCCCTCGAAGGTCGTGGTTCCAACCTTTTGGTCGATTTCTCTCGAGTTCCAAAAGGATTTGCAATCGCCGAGGAAGAAGTTGTCGATGATAAGAAGACAGGAAAAGGAGGCTGGAGTGGTCAGAAACAACAGAAACCAGGAGCCGGTGGTAAGAAAGGAGCAGTGAAAGAAGCAGGAAAATCGAAGAAAGATTTGATCTTGGAAGCGAACAAAAAGGCAAAAGATCAGAAAGTGGCAGACAGTGAAAAGGTGAAGATCAAGTACGGATGTCAGCAAGGAAAGGAGGCGGTTCTCTTCTTGAACAACCTCTACTCTTCTCTCGACCTTCCAGAATCAAGAGCTCTTTGCGTTTATGAAATTGTTGTTCGCGAAGGAAGAACGATGTTCGATCAGCACCAAGGCTCTGACAAGCAAGAAATAAGAAGAAACGTCGCGGTTGATTTTGTCGGTCATCTGAAGGATTGCTTCGTGAAGCATTGGGAGCACTTGGAGCCGAAACAAAAAGAGCAAGTGGTTGATTTGTGGGTGTCACTCGGTTTCGATGCACCAGCCGGATCCAAACCATCTTCCGAAGCCAAACAAAAGAAGCTCAATCTTGGAATCAACATGGTTTACTACCAGCTCCAATACGGAGGAGAGCTCATCGATATTCAATCTGATCCGAAAAAAGACGATCGTGTGAGTGGATTCGCTCCGGATGGATGGCAAAGAAAAATGCTTGACTCTGTTGATCGTGGCAACTCGGCTCTGATCATTGCTCCAACCTCTGCTGGTAAGACATTCGTTTCATACTACTGTATCGAGAAGATCCTCCGTGCTAGTGACAACGATGTCGTCGTTTATGTGGCACCATCGAAAGCGCTCATCAATCAGGTTTGTCTAAACAGTATCCAAGCCTCAATTCATGTTTATCAATTATTTCAGGTGTGTGGATCCGTCTACGCTCGTTTCCGTAATAAGTCAATGAGGCGGGGATTATCACTCTTCGGTACACTTACTCAAGAGTACTCGCAGAACGCCATGCAATGCCAAGTGCTCGTCACTGTTCCAGAGTGCCTCCAGGAACTCATGCTTTCAAGAACTCCAGCCGTACAAAAGTTTGTGTCTCATATCAAATACGTCGTGTTTGACGAAGTTCATTCTATTGGGTAAGTAATTTTTCCGTTCAAGTTGAATCACATTCTTTTGTTTCTCAGAGCTTCCGAAGAATCGCACATCTGGGAACAACTTCTGCTCCTCATCCAATGTCCATTCCTCGCGTTGTCAGCTACTATCGGAAATGCCAATAAATTGCACGAATGGCTCGATTCAAGTGAACAGGCGAAGACATCTGGAAAGCGAAAGGTCGAGCTTATCAACTATGGAGAAAGATATTCCGAGTTGGAGTTGTCGATTCTCAACATTAACGATCCACACGGAGAAGATGACGGTATTGCGCACAAGAAAGCAGGAGAAAATGCCGTGATCCCATTGATGCCATACGGAGTGTACATGCCAGAGAAGCTTCGAATGTTCTCCATTCCAGAAGATCAGCAGTTGACAGCCAGACAAATTCTTCACCTCTACAACATGATGGCGGAGGTTGATGCTGCTTCCAAGAAAGAGTTCGAGCCATGCAAGTTCTTCGGCCAACATGGAACGAAAGCAGTTTGGATTTCAAGATCAGAGCTTAGAAGACTGGAAAATGCGCTCAAGGAACGCTTCATGGAGTGGCTGAGCACTGATGAACAGAAGATCAACTCTATTCTGAAGATTCTCAAGGAGCCAGTCAACACTCAGCTCACCTACAGAGCTCGTCCGTTCAACAAGAAGAAAGTAGCTAATGACTACATCGTGACACTTGTCGACAATTTGAAGGAGAAAGGAGAACTTCCAGCGATTTGCTTCAACGACGATCGTTACGTCTGCGAGAAACTCGCCCAGACCTTAGCCGATGAGCTCCAGCGACGAGAGTTGGAGTACATGGAGACGGATGAGTTCAAGAACAAGTACATGATCAAGGATGAGAATAAGCTAGTGAAACTTGCCAAGAGAAAGAGAGATGATGCCGATAAGAAAAAAAAGGGAGACAAGGATGAGGATGCTGGTCCAGAAAAGGAAGACGATGAGATGGATGTGCTTGCTATGAAGAAGGCTAGATTGGCGAGAGCTCTGGAAAGATTCAAGCTTCGTGGAAGAAACGGAGGAGATCCAGATATATACGCCAAGATGATAGAAAGAATGGAGAAAAGTGGGAAGCATCGTGAGAGCACTCAAATACTCTTCAAGCTCTTCGAACGTGGAATCGGTTTCCATCATGCTGGAATGAATAATGTCGAAAGAGGAGCAGTCGAAGTGTTGTTCCGTTCTGGAAATCTCGCCATTCTGTTCTCTACCTCAACACTTTCTCTCGGAGTAAACATGCCTTGTAAGACAGTCATGTTCGGTGTGGATACTATTCAGCTCACACCGCTTCTCTACCGTCAAATGTCTGGTCGTGCTGGACGTCGTGGTTTCGATCATTCCGGAAATGTCATCTTCATGAGTGTGCCAACTAGGTAATTTATTCATACGTACTGTTCTTTTCTTAAGGGTTAAATTTCAGTAAGATCCGTCGTCTTTTGACTGCTTCCCTTTCAAACCTTCAAGGAAATCCACCATTCACCGTCATATTCCTTCTCCGCCTGTTTGCTTATGTCCATCAACAAGATATCATGAATGAGGAAGGACAGAAGGTGTCTACTATGAAGCAACGTGCTTTCGCGGCTAAGTCACTCCTCGAGCACTCCTTCAGTGTGCATACTCGTCGTGAAGCCAAAGATGGAGTTCTGCAGAAGCAACTTCGCATGTTCTCCGCGTTCTCCTTCCAGCTGCTTCGTCATCTCCAGCTGCTCTCTCCGTTTGGAGAAGGAAAGAACTTTGCCGAGCTTGCTATTCACTCCCAGAACGGATCATCCGGAACTCTTCTTTTCATTTACCTTATGCAGAAGAAGTGCTTCCATCAGTTGCTGAAGAAGTGCGAAAGCGCGGATGAAGCTCAACTCATGATGCTTGAAGTGCTTGCTAACCTCTTCACCAACGTCCGCATGTCTCCATTCCATGAGAGAAATGACAATCTGGAGAATGTTCATGTTAACCTCCGTGGCTTGCCATCGATTTTGGTTCCGTATGTTGAGGAGTACAACAAGACTGTTGGTGGTCTCTACAAGCGATTCATGGCTGCTTCTTCCAAGGATGGAAACCTTTTGGTATGATTTTTGAATTTCGATATATGGAAAAGTATAGAAAAACTATTTTTTACCTAATCCGGAAATCACTTTTTCTTGAACCTGAATTTTCTCCGTTTTTTGAATAGGCTCATTAAACTCTGTTTTTTTCAGGACCCAACATTCACAGTGAGCGGAAAACTTGACAGCGAGAGTGTCTCCCTGACTGAGGATTTCCTCGTTACCCCACTCTTCGATCAGTATTCGCACGATGAATCATTCCTCCCAGTGATTGATACCAACAAGAAGGATCATCGTGGACGTAAGATTCAACGCAACGCCTACGCCTACGATTTCTACGTTCACGGATCTCGTCAACTCCTTCCCGAAGTCAACGGTTTGCATGTCAACGTTGCCTGGTTCTTGCTCCACGACTTTGTGGTGAGTTTCCACCTGTCTCTTCCCCTTTCAATTATTGCATTACATTTTTCAGTCTATACTCGAACGTCTCGCTGTCGGAGTCCACAACATGGCTCGCCCACAAGATCCACTTGTCTTGATTCTTGAAGATCTGTCGAAGAATTACGATGAGAAATTCCGCAAAGCATTCGGAATGCGTTCTCGCGATTAATATATCTTTTTTCCCATTTATTCACTTCGTTTTTTTTTTCCTTTATATCGTAAGCTTCATTTTTGTAGTAGCCCCCTATTCTTTTCTCAGCTCTTGACTGGTGGCTTTCAGTTTTGGAAATACCCCCGGTTACTCTTTCGGCATTCTATAGTAATTCCACCTTCATTTCCATCATTGTTAAACCTGTTATTATCCTAACTATTATGTTTCCCTATCTCTTTGTTGCTTTTTTTCTACATTTTTCTAATAATCTTTTAAAATTCTCGTTTATCCTCTTTTTCTCTTCCTTACAAAGTGTTTCTTCGTCAATAAAGTGCATGAGTAGTAAGTAAGGTGTCCAAGAGCAACCACCTACTTTCCCCATTCTGTTCTCGCTATTCTTCTCCTCCTCCTACTTCTCCCGTTTCGCTCTTTGCTACATATATACCACGTATTATAAAACATTCGTATCATGAAGTGAATCGGGAAGAGCGAGAGGAGCGATGCTAGAGGAGAGGGAGAGCATCAGCAGGGAGAGAGACACAGAAACCGAGTGGTACGGTGTGTGTGCTTGCTGTGCCACGTCAGTCAGGGAGGGACGATTTTTGCCGAATATAAAAATATTATGTATGGAAAAAAGGGGGCGGTATATAGGGAAAGGAAAAAGGGACAAAAAAGAGAAACGGGCATTCAATATATTTTCGCATGCAAACACACATTCGACTTTTGTAATAATATTTCATATTATTGCCTTTTCATTGAAAATCGTTTGCTAGTACCTACAGTAGCTGATGTATCCGGTCCCTTTTGTGTCGAGACCATTCTTTTAAAAAATTTCCTTCAAGCTACAGTAACCAATTATTTTTCGAAAACTTTTTAGGGCCCTACAAAACTAGGTTAAAATTTTCTGAATTCTCTGAAATTTTCAGAATATACTAAGCAAAAAAACAGCTTCATTTTTGTAGTTGACCACTTTTTTGTAGCTTCCATAGTTTTGGAGGCATGCGCCTTTAAAAATCGTGCACTCTTCTTTTGCTTGGCGGCGCCAAAGGGCGCCTCATTTTTAAGGCGCATATCTCAAAAACTACGGTAGCTACAAAAAAGTTTTTAACTACACAAATTAAGCTTTGTTTCTGCTCAATTTTTAAATGAAAGTTTTAAAAATGTCGAATAACTTTAACCTGCTTTTGTAGGTAGCCAAAAATTGCTATAGAAAAAAATTTGAAACAATGGTTAGAACATAAAAAATAACTGCTGAATGGTTATTGGTTATCTTTTAATTCTATATCAGGAAACTATTTAGATGGTTCTGAAAATGTAGAAATCTACTTTTTAGAATAGTAATTCTTTTCAAAACAATAAGAAAAAGACAATTTTCAAATTATATGCTGATTTATGTGAGAGTCTGAAAAATAAAAATAAAATATATCTAAAACAAGTACAGTATTTTTGTGAATTTCGTTCAATTTGAAACCAAAAGCAGAAAATGGAAGATACCGTATTCCTTCTAATAGAAACCCACCGGAACCATCAGCTTTGAGCTCCATCAGCATTTTATCAATGAACAATTTTTTCGTATCTTTTACAGGAACCGATATAAATTGGCTAAAAGTGGAAAAGGCGACACTTGCCGGCTGAGCTACTCGGTCGGCTGTCGATCTTGTTACTTTGACTCAATTTATCTCGTTTTCTTTGAAAGATATCAAAAAGTGGTCGACTAATAAAAAATTGGTGATATCATAATGAACAATTTATCCGTTGGCAAATCTTTTATATCTCTCATAGTAACCGAGATAACCGGGCTCAAAGTGGACGTATAGAATGTGGGCTTCTACTAGAGCACGCGCTGCCCAATTGAAAAAATTCCTGGCGAGTTTGTGAAAAATTGACCTATTATTATATTATAAATGTACTTTCAAGCATCTAGTTGTGTTCACAATCATTATACTCCAGAATTTGGAAGACCCTCGTCACTTTCTTTTTCTCTGAAATTTCAGAATTTCGAAATTTCCTTTTCTTACAAAAAAACGGTTCCCGATTCTTCCTTTTTTCAGATTCCCATAGTCATAAAATTGTTTCCATCATTCTTCCCACCTTCCATTCCATTCTTCCCTATTTCTTGGAAATGCCAAATCTTCTATTCTGCATATTTCACACAGCTCCACGAAACCAAACTAAAATGAGAACCCTAATCTCATATTAGGTGTTCCCATTCGTTTCTCATTCCGGCTTGATAAACTCTCTAATTATATTTCCCCCAAGTTTCTCTGCGTCTCCACACTCTTTTGTTGCTCTCTATGGAAACCAAAAGTGGGCGTGGCCTAAATGTTGGAGAAGAAGAAGGTGCTCAGTTGTGTGCCCTTTCAAGACTGCTGGCCAGTTTTGCTCTTGAAAAGAGTTTTTGTGCTCAACTTTCTTATCAAACTGCTGATAAGAGTGGAGCGCTCATTTTCACTTTTCTCTTTTCAACTTTTCACTTTTCAGCTGAAATTTTTCTTAAAAATTGAATGACTTTTTCCAGGTAATTATTCCTATCGAATTTCAAAGAATCCAATGAAGAGATAATCACTTTTCAAATGGATTTTTGTTGTTCGGGAGAGGTAAGGGATTACTGTAACTAGTATAAATTTCTTAAACTTTTTGCAGTCTGAAATCTAGTCAAGAAGCTCATCAATATGGTTCATTTGTCTTGTCTTCTTCTCCACCTCAAGAAGTCAATTTGCTAGTAATCGGAAGCCGATTTTTTGCGGCGAAAATGAAGAAACCAAATTGATTTTGAAGACGTCAGAAGGGTCCAATTGGTGAAGCGGTTCTACCCTTTTTAATTTTTCGATTGATGATGGAGTCAATATAAGGATGTGCAATTGATCTCCGGAAACAGTGTCGCCGCGCCATATTACATTAATTTCCGAATTGAAGGAAAAACATCCCCCATTTATCCCCCAAAATTTGACGACTGTTCCTGGACACACCCTTCTCCTCTCAATTTTTTTTTCTCTTTTTAATTTTTTATTATTTTACTATTTGAGGTTTTTAAGAGGGAAGCAAAATGGCAATTTTCTCCGCGGTCGCCAAAATCGCTGAAGTTTTCCAGGTCACTCGCTGGACTACACAGCCGGCCAAGCGGATCCCTTACAGGAAACGTTGTGCTCCTTTAGCTTTGAAGCGATTTACAAGCTCAACATTACTCAAAACGAGCTCAAGTCAATTAAGAGCTCAAAATCAAAATTCTAGCCGGTAAATCAATTCAACATTAAAGGCGCATGGAATTTCCTACAAGAGTCTCGCTTGGCTAGCCGTGGAGTCCACGTGGACAAGCAAATGACCTAGAAACCTCCAGCTTTTTTGTCTTTGCTTCCCTCTGAATAACCGCTTATAAGCACTCAAAGCCATCAAAGCAAAAACTGTGATAATGTGTTGTACATAATTCTTCTCCCCCCTTCATTCCCCTCTAGTATGTCCCTTTTGAATTTTCTTCTTAAAATGATGATATTGCATTCTCATATAATTTCGTGCCACTTTCTCACTTTCTGCATTCAAACCATCTGACCATCTTATCATAATGCAAAACGCCCCAAAAAGAAGTGATAATAAATAGTTTTGAGTTTGAAAACGAACAAACAAAAAATGTATTCATGCTATATGGACAAGAATCATGGGACATGAGAAAATGAGAGACACCATTTAAAAATACATATAAATCATTCACTTTCTGAAGATTGCGAATGGGAAAGATTCGAATGTTCGGAGAGAGTTTTGACCATTCTCGGGGAGAGCATTGGAATGTATTCGCGTGGAATCAACCAGGTTGAAAGATTGAAAAGATCCAAAAAGACTTTGTAGCGATCGCTGACTGTTGAACGGAGATACATGTAGCCAGAAGAGCCACCAGTTCCTTGTTTAGCTCCGAGCATTCTTTGAACCAGGAGGACGTGGTTGTCTGAAATATTCTTTTTTGAAATTTCTAAAGATTACAGAATGAATGAATTTCAATCAGGTTCATTCTGAATATCAATGTTAATACAGAGTTTGCTCTATAAGAAGCACACCCAATACTTTAAAACTTTGATCTCAATTATCTCGGTTCCCGTAAAAGATATCGAAAACTTGTCAACTGATAAATTATTTATCATAACATCTTCAATATTTCATCAGTTGGCAATTGTTTGATATCTCTCATAGGAACCGAGATAATTGAGCTCAAAGTTGACGGGTTGGGTGGATTTGGTTAACAAGGTTTCAAAAGAAAAAATTAAGTCTATAGACTATAAACTTTGAATCTTCATAAATTGAAAAATAAAAGATTCTCATACTTTTTCAGATTCCAAACTATTAACAAAGTAAATTTTATGTTCTGGAAATATCGGAATTCCAGGTAATCTGAAGTTTCAATTTCAGAAAATCTGCGATTCCAAAATTTGAAAATTAAGTCTCAACTTTTAGGCTTATCGAAATATAAATATTCTGAGAATCTGTGTATTCTAGAGTTTCTGACATCTCTAGAATTGGAAAAAATTCAGAATCTTGGAATCTTGTGAAGTTAAAATGCCGTAAAACCTCTAATAGAAGGGCCCCAAGCTTCAAATTTTGAGTCACTTTATCTCGGTTCCTGTAAAAAGGTATGAGAAATTCCTGAACTAATGAAAACATTATCAAAATGTCACAAACGTTTTATCAGTTGACATATTTTTGATATCTTGCAAAGGAGCCGAGATAAATTAGCTCAAACTTGACATTGTTAGGGCTTTATCTTACAGTTTTTAGGGTATTGAGCCTCAAAACTTACATCTCCACTTGGTGAACAAACTGTCAATATCCATAAGGAATGTCAGAATCTGGTACGGTTGTGAGAAACGTGGCATATCACGATAGAAGTAGATCATCATGGCTCCTTTAGTAGCGTCATGGGACAGAAGACGGTTTCCTAAATAGATATAATTTTAAAATACTGTATTGAAGATGTTATGATGAATAATTGTATCAGTCCTTTAACAGTCCTTTAACAGTAGCCCACACAAACCGCCAAACCAGCTCAAGTAACTCGATTTTTATGAAAGATATCTAAAACTTGCCAAAGGTAAAATATGTATCATAATCTTCTCAACATTTTATCAGTTGACAAGTTTATGATATCTTTTACAGGAATCGAAATAGTTAAGCATAAAGTTGACGATATCTTCCCGCCATCATTTTTACCATTTCTGATATGTTGCTCATGTTGACGTGGGTCCAGAATCGACTGGAAAGCGTCCGAAGTTTTGCTGTACTCGGCGCGGAGTTGCTTTTTGATCTCCTCCGTGTTGGACGGGTCCTGCAAGAAGATGGGTTTCCATTGGAAACAAGAGAGCTTTTAGACATTTGGAGGGACATAAAATAGAGAAATGACGAATGAGATTTTTCGGGAAACTTCGGAAAAAAGAAACATACATTTTATGCAAAATTTGAAAAGGGACAACAAATCCAAAAATTGAAAAAAACATACCTCAGCTTGCTTGGCCAAATCACTGAGATATTTGTTAACCGAACTCTCATACTTGCTCCAGAATCCTTCGTCTTCTGAAGTTGACTTCAATCCTGGAGTTCTCTCCAACCAACTCTCGATCAAAGTCAAAAGACTTTTCTCATCTTCTGTCGTATTCAACGCCTTCAGGTCGTCATCGTTGAATACATTCTTGTAGTGTTGAGCGTTGTACTGAAATAAGGAATATTCACATTTGAAAATTTCCCTGAACCTTCCAGAATCTCTTACTTTGATTCTTCTCTCCTGCTTCACACCCAACTTATTCTCCAGAATACGAAACTGGAGCGACTGGAAACCGGAAGCCGGAGTCAAATATTTTCTGAAATCCACAAAATCCAACGGACTCATCGTATCCAAAAGTGTGATTTGTTCTGTGAGAAGGCTCAGAATTTTGACGATTCGATCCAGTCCCGATACAATTTTTAACGTTTTTGTTTCATCGACAATCTAGAAAATGAGGAATTTAAAATTTTCGAGAAAGAAAGGAATTACAGTATTATTCAGGAGTTTTCTAACAATATCCAAATCGAAAATAATCTGTTTGAACCAAAGTTCGTGCGCCTGATGAATGACGATGAAGAGATGCTCGTCATCGACACGTTGACCGTCCGCTTCTGATTTCAATTTTTGTGCTGTCAGTATTTTGTCAAGCTGAAAAATAAGAAAGATTCTGAGTTACTGGAATTATGAGATTGTAATATTTTGAAATAGTTAGGCATCCAATTACCGCAAAAGAAAGGGCTCCCTGACTTTTAACTTTGAGCTCAATTATCTCGATTCCTGTGAAAGGTATCAAAAACCTGTCAACTAATAAAATAGTTATCATAAAAGCACCAATATTTTATCAGTTGACCACTTTTTGATATCATTCATAGCAACCGAGATAATTGAGCTCAAGGTGCAGTGTTGTTCTAATAAAACGACCTCGCCCTAACTTTTAATTTTAAGCTCAATTATCTCGGTTTCTATAAGATATATCAAAAATCTGTCAACTGATAAGATGTTGCTAATTTTACGAAAAATATTTTATCAGTCGACTACTTTTTGATATATTTTGAAAGAACTGAGATCACTATGCTCAAAGTTTACAAGTCAGCTCTTGTAGGCTGAGCTACGCGGTCGGCCACCGAGCTCTTAACTTTGAGCCCATATATCTCGGTTCCGAAAAAAGATAACGAAGTGTAGTTATTTTAAAGCTAGGCTCAAAGGGACAAAATCCTATTTGGGCCTAAAAAGTTCTGGTTGCTCCAGACTCCCAAATTCCCTTTCTAACTAACCTGCAAATACTCCGGATACGTTTGTCCAAATCCCATTTCCACTTTGTTCACACCCTGCTGACATTCCTCTCCTCCTTCCATGAACGTGACTCGATGAGGCAGTGTATCCCCTCCATTCATATACGGGCACGCCATGCTGGAATTCTGAATAAAAAAACTCAAATATTATTTTCTAGTACAGTATACAAAAAGGCAGACACAAAAAAGACGACGGCCTAGACACATTGGGCCACTGTTTAACACAGAAGAAGACGGCGTCGGTCATCGACAAAGACGGACGGTCTGATAATGGTGGAGAAGGCGTCGGAAGACGGGGGAGAAGATAAGAAAAAGTCAGAAAGGGACGAAAACGCAGACGATGGGGGTATCCATTTCGCCGCCGTGTAGATTCACTTAATTTCAAGGAAACAAACACTTAGAGTGTATGTGTCGTAATCATATTATCACTTGACGAATTCACGTGTTCAGATGCTTCGCCTTCGCTTTTTTGATAATGGGCGTTGGCATCAGGGGTTCCCCCGTTGAGTACAGTATTCTTGGAGATACCAGAGTTTTGGGACTTTTTTCATCTTCTTCTTTCTTCTCACATATCTACAGTACCGAACAAAATTATTACGCTTTACGATTTTTGCATCATCCAAACCGTCCACTTTGAGCTCATATATCTCAATTCCTGTGAAAGATATCAAAATTTTTACAAACAATAAAATGTTGAGGATATTATGATAAATATTTTATCAGTTGAGAACTTTTTGATATCTTTCAAAAGAACCGAGATATATCGGCTCAAAGTTAAAAGTTAGATGTCGCGCTCTAGTAGAGTTTACTGTAGGTTGGATGGCCTGATAAACAATGTTGAAGTTGTCCTATTGTCCTGAAATTATTTAAAAACATTGAACAAAAATTTTTGTAGTTGACAATTTTTTTGAAACTACTCCAGCTTGTGAGATATGCATTTTCATATACACAGCTCTAAGCGAACAGCTAGCACTGGCAAACAAATGTTTAAAGAAGCATATCTCAAAGCCTACAGTAGTTACAAAAACAAGTTCAACTGCGAAAATGAAGTACAGATTTTGTTTCATGTTATCTCAAAATTTCAAAAAGTATGAAAAACTGGATCATACTTTTGTAGGACTTCAAAGTTGACTACAGTACTCCCTCTTATAGAAGCCCACCCAAATCGTCAACTTTGAGCTCAATTATTTCAATTTCTGTGACAGATATCAAACCTTCACCAACTGATAAAATGTTTGTGATATTATGATAAATAATTCATAAGTTGACCACTTTTTGATAGCTTTCACAGAAACCGAGAAAAATTAGCTCAAAGTTTTGAAAATTGAATTGTTGAAATGTGATTATTTTTGTCTGATACGATATAAATTTCTGCTGCATTCCATCAAACTGTTTGTTACAAACTACAAAAAAAACGGAAATCCGTTCAACCCAAAAATATGGTATCTGCAAGGTTGCGCGAATTCCACACGGTACAAAATACATACGGATGACGTCGTCAGTGTTAATTCTCGATCAAGAAGTCGTCGAAACGATGAAAACACGTGGATTGGTAAAGAGAATGATAAGGATGATTACTATTACAATGTACGAAAAAAAAAGAATTCCAAGAAGAACGATTCAAAAGATCAGAATGCAGATTCTAATCAGAACCTTATTAGCTCTAATAGAAGCCCATTCAAACTTTCAGCTCAATTATCTCGATTTCTGTGAAACATGTCCAAAATTGATTTACTGATAAAATATTGTTTATATTATGATAAACATTTTATCAGTTGACCACTTTTTGGTATCTCTGACAGGAACGGAGAAAAGTGAGCTAGAAAGAAAGTGTGCTTCTGTTAGAGGAACAAAATAACAATACTGAAATGAAAGATGACAATTCTGAAACTTTAGAGAAATTTAAAAATGCTGAAACCCAGAAATAATGAAATTCTGATTCATATTGGAGGATTCTGAAAAAAAATCTGGAAAACCTGACAGCGGACCGCCTTCTTCTGGGTCCAAAGAAACCAATCCATCCTCCATCAATCAGTGATCTTTTCCCTTTTTTTGTCACGTACTTTCCTTTTCCGGTCATCATCGTTCATTTATTCCTTATTCATCCATCACAACGTCTTCTTCTTCTTCCTCCTCTGACAATATGTCATATCGATCGACTGAAAAGATCAGCACACGTGATAAGCGAATCCGCCACAGGTTTATCTCTCTGACTTACAAGAAAAAAGAAGATGGGGTACGTTGTAATTGCCACCGCAGCCTATCAACTTCTTGCAGATCAAAAGAAAACTTCATTTTCTTCTCCTTCTGCAGACGACGTCTTCTCTCTTTTCGATCGTTCAGAGATCTGGCAACTGAATGTTTGATCTCGGAGACAGCTGACGACGAAATGGGGAAGAAAAAGAGAATAGGAGATCAGTTCGGGGAATCCCATGCTACTGTACCTTTGGTACGAACTCTGATGGGGGAAACCAGTTTGGAGACGGATGATTTAATGATTTATGGGAACGATTGGTTCAGATGACAGAAGAATGATTTTCTAGTTTGAACGTCATCACTTTTTTGATCTGTTACACATTCTGTGTTGTGAACTTTTAGAAGTTTTCGATTTTAAAGTCATTGTTTCGGAGGATTTGGAAATGTCGGAGATGTGGAAGAGAAGCGCCGGTGGTCGAAGGTCCCACCACGACAACTACCGTAAGCTAAAAAATGTTATTTTTTTGGTTACGGTAGTTGTCGTTTTTCGTGCGTTTTCAGTCAATTCTTCTCTATCAACAATGTTGATTTTTCGACGGTTTTTCTTGAGAAAAATAACAGAAAATTTGAGGAAAAGCGGCATTGGCGGCCTAGAAAAAACCTCGTCCCTAAGGGCTTTCAGCGTATTTTTCGATGCGTTTTTCTCGCCGAAGGAATTTTTTTGATTTTTTTCTTTATTTTTATGTCAACCTACATGCATTTCTGCACATTTTGATGCAATAAAAAATTTCACCGTACACCACCTTTAAGCTGAACTATCAGGTCGCTACTCAGTGGTTTCTGCATTTAATCGAAAAAAACGGTGGAAATATTTATTTAAAAGAACGGCCCGGAAAAAGCACCGCGGGAGGCGTTCGTGTCGATTTACGAGGCTCCGCCCCTAAATCCGATATTTACTGTATTGCACGAAACTAATTTCTGTGAATTTAGTGTGATTTGCTGAACAAAATTTAGATTTTTCGGTAGAAACATAATCGCTAACATCTCAAGAATCCTTTTTTTACAGAAAAATGAAATTTAATTGCGAAAATCGTAAGAACGAGGAAAACATCCGAATTATTACAATTTTTGACATATTCGGCTTCTCACATTTAGCCGACGAGATTTCAATTCACGGCGAAGACATTTGTTTTTAAAGTTCGATCTCGAAAAAGCCCACCGATTACCCTCAAAAAGCCCCCATTATATTCCCCCATTTGCATGTCAATGTTTTAGGGCTCCCTTCAATCCGTTTTTTTTTAAACGAGAGCACACACGAATCTCGTCATTCGTAACCTACAATTTTCAGAAACATAGCCATGCACCCTCCCTTCTACTTTCATCGTTTTGCTCTTTTTGTTCTGACTCCGCTCCTTTTAAATTTTGATTCTTGTTCCGATGAGAATCGTGGAGGTACTTATATTTCTAACCTGTCTCGTTGTATATGTAGATAATGCGGTTAGCCCGGTAATATTCTTATAAGTGACCTGGTTATAGTTAAATTTCTAGAACTTCGTTAGCGATTCTAGATCGCTGTATCCCAAAATGATCCGAACAAAAAGTGCCCATCAATTTATCACTTTCTACATGGGAACGTTTCGAGACTTCTTCAAAAACACCTCAAACATCATGTATCATTTCAACTATTATGATGAAGGGGTCAAGGGAATTGGATGTTATATGGAGAAGGAAATGGATTATACTCGACTTCGAAGTTATTTCGAGAGATATGCCACAACTCATCGTGACCCAGAAATCAAAGTGATCGCTGCCTTGATGATCAGAGGAGGTGCACACATGACTGCCGAATTCCACGTCACCACCAAACAGAAGTGGTTGGGATTTAAAGACCATTTTCATATAGTAGTTAGGGTGGTAAATGTGAGTTTACGGAAATTTTTGATATTATTATGGTACAAAAAATCGGAGCTGTGAAAGCCTTCGAAGGTCCCACAACGACAACTACCGTAACCTAAAAATGTTATTTTCAGAATTAGTTTTCTCGAATTTCGTGCGTTTTCAGTGAATTTTTTCACTCTAAAAAATCGACGAAAACCAGTGAAAACGGAGCAAATTAATTTTGAAAATTAAAGTATTTTTAGGTTACTGTAGTTGTCGTTTTGGGACCCATATCTCCGATTTTTCGTTCCAGTATAATATCTATAATAAAATCTATTTTTAGGACGAAACCGTCGGATGGGGAGTCCGCCACCTGAATATGGCTTTCGACTGCTAAAGCTTCAGGATTCATGCGAATACAAACAATAATAATAATTAAAACATAATTATAGGACAGAGAGCTGGATGAGAAAATATATAAATTATGATCATTTTCGTAAATTGTTAAATATTCAATTTCGTCGTTTTTCACTTCAACTCTGCCACCTTGGCCTCGAGAATTTTCAGCTTTTCAACGACAGATCCGATTTCTTGCTTTCCATTTGTCTGAAACATATTTTATTAATTTGCCCGTTAATCAGTATTTAATTACCTCATATTCAATAATAGCTTCTCTTCCTTGTGCCACCTCTTTTTCCAGTTTCTCTCGAATCGTTTTCAAATGAGAAAGTCCACCGGCGAAATATTGTGCTTGCTCGTGAAGGCGATTCAGTGCTTTGACTTTATTCACATTGCTGGGAAGAGAAGAACAAGCGACGTCCCATTTCTGCATCAATTCGAGAATTTCGTTAACCTTCTTGTCGAGGTTTTCATCGATGTCATTGTTGGCACGAGTCTCATCGATCTTCTCCAATTTTGTAAGCATCACATTCAAACGTTGTTCCAGTCCGGAGACGTATGAATGATTCAGAGTCTCACATCTCAATTTGAGATCTTCAATGGTATCCAGAACTGGAGCCGATGGGATCACAGAACTTCCAATTACTTGCTCAATTCTTCTCAGTCTATTCTCCAAAGCTGCTGCCTTTGAATCCGAGCGAACTTTTGGAAGTTCCACTTCGTGATTCACAGCAGTTGGCTTCCCATTTGCTTGAACTCCTTGCAACGTCTTCACCTCTTTCTCTAGATTCTCCAGAACTTCAGCATTGAGAAGATCAGTTTTCACAGTGTCGTCGGTCCGAATTTGTTCATTCAAATCGGCGATTTCGTAGAGGATACGGTTCAATTTCTCGGCTGGTGTCTCGATTCCTGTGAATCCAGCTCCAGCAACTTCCAGAACGTATTGGTTGTTTCCGAAGGCGTGGCGGCGCTTCTTGGCGATTGAATCAGAGAAATCTGAATATGAATTATATGAATATGGACTTTTAGGGTAGAAATACCGATAGAAGATAAGTTGAGAACACGACCTTTGTATTGCTTCAGTGCCTCGTCAATATCGACAGAAACCTGTAAAAAACTGGGTTATCGGAGAAGATACCCATTTCACAAATTTACCAATTCGATATCTGGATGATTTGGAGTATCATTCTCCGGTTGAGGATTCTGAACTGGGTTGGCAGCTCCGTCAGACTCGTAAATATCCTCTTTTCCGATTGTCGACATTTCACAAGGTTTTGAAGCGAACTGAAAGAGAAATTTCAATTAAGAATATAACGAAAAATGAGTGTAAGCATTCAACAGTATATTTATATGCGCAAAATATGATAAATTTAGCAAAAACTAGGTTATTTGTTGCGAAACAAAATCGAATCGCAGAATAAAATTGAAATGACACGGAAATGCAAATGCGCTCCATCGTCACGCATTAGAGAGTGAGAGACGGAAGAGTTTGCTCCCCCTAAACAAATTTTGAACAAAGTTCTCGCTTTTTTTTCTTTCAGTGCTCTCCGATTAGTTGCTTTTTGAGTTTTTTTTTGTGTTTTCTTAATTTCATATTTTACATATGTACTCGGCAAATCGATCCCATCGCGCAGAAACGAGAAACCGTTCAAAAGACGAGCTCCGAAAGGTATAATTTTGTGGTCCTATTCTAACAATAAATATCCTTTTGTTCAGGTGATCAACTCATTGGAAAAAGTCCGCAGGTGGGAGAAGAAACTCGTTCTCATCAAAGACACCAATATTCGAATTTACAAATGGGTTCCAGGTAACAACCTGGACGATTTATCGATTTTCAAAGTATCCTATTTCAGTGAGCGCTCAAAATATCATGGCTCCACCAAAGGCTCAAATCAAAGAAGTTGACGAGGAGAGCAATCAGATTCCATCAGCTGAGAACTCGCAAGACTCCACGAGTGTCACCCGTCCAGTAGTTAACTTCGATATCAACGAAGACTCCAACTTCTCCACTGGCGACAATTTCGACAGTGACTCGAATCAAACGTTCGAACCACAAAACTATCAAGGCGGCGCCACCGGTTCCACTGATTTCAGTGCGATGCGTGACGCTGAGATGGCATCCAAACCTCAATAACTCTCTATCTGATCTCTTCACCCTAATATCTGTTATTGGTTTCGTGTTTTAATCCCATTCCATACTGTGTAATCTCATTAATAATGTCTCATTCATGTTTTATTCAATTTATCAAAGTTTCACCAGTACATAATATAAATAACCAAAAGACTGTGTATAACCCATTTTCGAAAGTATTTACAAGTGACAAATGTGCCGTAATGAGATTGTAAGTAGTGCAGTTAGAGATAAAAATTGAGTATCAAAACAGTAAGAAGGGCAGTGATGGGGTGAAAAGTAGGTGAAATGTTCAGCACAAGCTTCTCATTTCTTGGACAGAAACCAAAGAAGGATTGAAGTGGCTGAGGATATCCATCAGCAACGTCGAAAACGGATCGAGAAGAGTTCATTCGAAATACTTGGTCTCCTCTAGTGAAATGGATTTCCTTCTCATAGGTGAACGCTGAATGAACACCCTTCGGAACTCGTGCCCAATTCAAATCAATCGCCTTCGGATACCGCTCATCCACTCGCCGATGATCCATTTTCTCATCCAGTTTCCAGTATCTGGACCCTTTCCAGATGTATATTGCAGGAGGGCTGGAAAAAAATTATAGAAAGACTTCTATTATTCTTGCCCGGCGGCGGTGAATCTTGCGGCCGAAATTTTAAAAGCGCATTGTCGGTCTAAATAGCTGCGAAAACAACTACGATTTTTTTTTCGAATAATCGCATGCGCAGCCAATAATGAGTCAAATTAAATTAATTTTCGAAATGGCGCATGTATTTTCTTCGAAAATTCCACTGTTCTTGCTGCTGTACCGACGATGCGTATTTGAATAAATTTTCGACCGCAACATTCATCGCCGCCGGACAAGGATAATAGAAGATTCTGAGTATAAGACACTCACTTAAAATAATGCCATTCGTACGCCAAATCAATGTACTTCTCATCGATTCCGATTTCCGAAAGAGTCAATGGAGCATGAGCCATACGGTTTCCGTAGATAACATAGATCTTTTCACCGACGAAGACCCACAGATGGTGTCCGACAGAAACGGCGGCGTCGATGGGATTCGGGAGTCCGGGGAAGAGTTGATCGATGGGAACGGGCTTGATGATAAGACGCTTCCAATCAGATGAGACACGCCAGACCCATTGGCTCTAGAAAATATACATTTATGTGAATGAATTTAGAAGTTTGATAACAATTTTTGATTCAGCAATATGAAGCATTTTTCCATTCAAGATACCGTATACACTTTATTAGAGTGCCACAAAACCGTAAACTTTGAAATCATATATCTCATTTTCTGCAGAAGATATCATTAAATGGTCAACTGAAAAAAATATTTTTGATATTATGGTAAACATTTTATCAATTGACTGCTTTTATATATCTTTTAAAAGAACCGAGATAATTGAGATTGAATTTGACGATTCGGGTGGGATTCTAAAAGATGGAATACGGTAGTTAACTTTGAGAGTTTACATACAATAGCAGTGTTTCAAATTTTTTAGAAATTACATGTAACATTAAACAGAAACCGTGCTTTATTTTCACAGTAGAAGATATTTGCAACTACTGTAGTTTTTGAGATATGTGTCTTTGAACATTTGCTTGCCGATGTTATTTCAAAATTGTTAACCCAGCTCATTCTATAGAGTTATTCCCACCATTGTTCATTTAGTCTAACTCCTATTCTCCATCAAGATTTTCGTATATTTTCGAATTTTTCCCAAAAGGCAACCGATTATTATGACATTATGTCTTCAGATGTCACTCCTTCAACTCCAGGTGAAGGGAACACCTGGAAAACCCTAACCGGATGGAATCACGCCAAATTTCCCAGAGACCAAGATAATAGGCTCCGCCCACTTTCTATGTTGATGTGTTTGATTCAGAATACCAAATATTCATTCTGTCTCATTTCTGAGTACACTGCTAAGCGCTCTTGTCTTCTGTATTATTGCAATCTACTACTTTAACTATGTCTCGCCTTACCGGACGTGTTTCTTATCCAGCAAAGGAAAACTGCTATTCTTCCTCGAACTATCGTCGTATGGACCATCAGGATGCTCGTCGTGGAAATGGAAACAACTATCGTCAACCGTTCCGATCCGAAGACAATGAGGAGAGATCAAAACCACGTGGAAAGGGAGCTGTCAGATATCAAGGAACTTATAGTGATAGATTCCATCGTCAGGATCAACAGAAGGACTGTTCCTCATCGGATCGATTCAATGGATCATCTCAATCTCAAGAGAAACCAATCTCTCGTAAACCAACTCAAAGAATCGAGGATGTGGTTCCAACTGAGGAACTTCTTGAAGTGGAAGATCTTATCGACCAGATCAGTGATTTGAGTATCCGAAGTGATCGATCAGCATCCCAAATCAAGAGAAACATCCTTGCAAGTGACCTACTTTTGGATACAATGGACATTGATGATTGGGAAAAAGTTTGTAAATCCATGATTGAGACTGGATAAAGGAGAAACTCGATAAAGGAGAAACCGAGTTCATTGCAGACTTAATGGTCGCTCTTCTTAGTAAGTTTTCCTCATTTTTTGATTCATTTAATTTAATATTTTTTCAGAAAATCCAATTTTCGCTGCTGTAATGTCAGATGAATTGATGGATGCCTCGTCTAAATACATAATGGAAAAAGACGGAAAACCAATTCCATCATTCCTATCTTCTATCCTCTGTGCTCATTGGCCAAGACAATATTTCAAAGCATTCGACAATGTGAATCCAATTCTTTATACTGTTGTTTGTATTGTCAAAGGATGGATTCTCGTAGTTCAAGAAGATACCCAAAGATACTACAGTAAGCCAGGAGAATCCAAAAACACTCCAGAAATCATCGAGACTCCCGAAATGGTCAATTTGTGTGCCGTCGCTCTATCGGATCTTTGTGAATCGGCTCAACGTCAACTCTGGATCAATTGGGCGTCTCTTACTGATGAAATCTATGAATGCATCAAACCATCAATCACTCACAATCCAAATTTAACTGGAGAATCTAAGGAACGTCTTCTGGAAACACTTCTTCAGATGAACCAATGGACCAAGAATCGAAAGGCTTCAATGAAGAGTGCAGGTGTTCAAACTGTCTCTTCTGGATGTTAATTTTTCCCTTTTGTTCTATTTTTTCTCCTGTTCATTTTTCTGTAAGTTATAACTTTCCATGGCTTTTTTCTGTACTTCCTTTCCTTGTATCAATATTTACCACATTAGATAAAGTTAATAATTAAAAAAAAAAGTATACTGTATTAAAGGCGCATGGAGTTCCCGGCAAGGGTCTTGCTCAGCTGGCCGTGGTGTCCACGTGGACAAGCAAATGACCTAGAAAAATCCAGCTTTTTCGGCTGCCGCGAAAGCAGCAAATTGCGGAAAATTAGAACGAAACCCTACCATAGACCTAAAAACCTTTTTTATTGATTTCGTGTGATTTCGTGGGAAGTGAACAGCACATTTTGGTTATTCCCAATCCCAAAAAGATTTTCAAAAACTTCCCAGAATGTCATGCGAGAAAAAAGAAGAAGAGGTCAACAAGAAGGAAGATAAGAGTAAAAGTAGAAGAAAGGAAAAAGAAGAAAAGAAAGAGGAAAAGAAGGAAGAGAAGAATTTGGAGAAGAGTAAGAGGAAGGAAAAGGAGGAGAAGAAGGATGACAAAAGTAAGAAAAAGGAAAAGGAAGAGAAGGAAAAGGAGAAGAGCAAGAAGAAGGAAAAAGATGAAAAAGAGAAGGAAAAGAGCAAAAAGAAAGAAGAGAAAGAAAAAAGTAAGAAGGAGGAGAAGAAAGAAGAGGTGAAGGATAAGAAGGATGAGGAGCGAGAAAGAAGAAAAGAGAAAATGAAAAGAGCTGGAGCAGTTTATAATCAAATGAATAATAAAAGTTTGATAAGCGAAGGGTCCACAGTTTTGGGAAGATTCGAGGTCGATGCGATTATTGGTGGTGGAGGTTTCGCTCAGATTTATAAGTGAGTTTATGCATTTTCTGCGGCCGCGGCCAGAAAATTACAAGGAAAAAATAATATAAAAAATCGAAAAAATTATGTTTTCGACATTTTTTGGGTTACTGTAGTTTTTGTTCCAGAAAGAAAATTTGTCTGAAAATTTCAGACTGTACTAAACAAAACAAGAATTTCAAATTTGTAGTTGACAACTTTTCAGTAGCTGCCATAGTTTTTGAGCTATGTTCAATGTTGATAGACGTCTTCGTGACTCCAGTATCCTCTGGCAACTTTGAAGGCGCATAACTCAAAAAACTACGGTATCTAATAGTAAGAAAAAGTTGTCAACTATAAAATTAAATATCTTTTCTTGTTTAGTACACTCTGAAAATTTTTGACCGCAACAAATTGCTGATTTTGCTTCCCGTCTAAACTCTGAACAATCCCTTTAAGATTCAGAAAACTCTAGATTTGAAAAGAAAACTTTTCAGAGCATATGATAAAGTTCGCAAAGAGGATTGTGCAATTAAAATGGAGCATGCGACTTTGGATATTCGTCGAATGAAACTCGAGATTACTGTACTTTTGGCACTTCGTGGTTGCATTGGAATCCCCGAAATTCTGGGTCAAGGAAAATGGCAAAACGGAGATATCAAATCCCAATATATTGTGATGCAGTTGGTTGGAAAGAACCTTTCTGAAATCCGAAAAGCACTTCCACATCGTCGATTCAGCGAACGGACTCTGTACAGAGCAATGCTTCAAATTCTGAAGGCGTTGTCTCTTTTACACGGCGCCGGATTCTTGCATCGCGATTTGAAACCGTCGAATTGTTGTATTGGCGCTACGGACTGTACTAGAATCTACCTGATTGATTACGGTCTCACTCGACAGTATCTTGATAAAGGAGGAATTGTCAGGAAGCCACGTGCCGGAGTTGGTCTTCGTGGAACAATTCGTTATATGAGTTTGGATGCTCATGCTCGACACGATTTGGGACCAAATAATGATTTGGTTGCTTTCCTCTACACCACCGTAATACTTTGAAAATGGGGAAAAAGATACAATAGATTTTCAGATCGAATGTGGAGATGGGTCACTTCCATGGTCCAACGAGTCCACTCATGATAACATTATCAAATTGAAGCAAGCTCATACTGGAGAGAAATTGTGTACAAAGCAACCAGTTATGACAAAAGTTGCCGAGTATATCGAAGGATTGAGTTATCATAACATTCCGGATTATGAGAAACTTTTTGGATTGATTGAAGATTGCAATCCACCGGATCTTAAGGATAGTGAGCCCTATGATTGGCAGTATCGGTGAGTTGAGAGGAATGAAGAATAAAGTTAGGAAATTGAATTTTTCAGAACTCCTCATAACGTAATGACACCGACGAATAATGAGACTCCAGGAGGAACTAAGGAGAATGCGACAGAACGGATGCAAGTGTGAACTCTCATCTTTTTGTCAAATAAAAATTAGATTCTATTTTCTTTTTTATCCCGAATTTTGGCTTACAGTACCATCCAACTTTGAATACTGATCAGCTGAAAACAATTATAAATTGACCGCCTGTTTTCCCTTCTGATATTTTTCACAGCTACCGCAGTTTTCGAGACATCTGCTTTTGAAAATTAGGTTCCTTGAAGAAGAGACCCCGAACTATGAATATTCTAGATTCTGAAGCTTTTCGAATTCCAAAATTTCGAAATTTTCAATATTCGAGAATTCTGTATTTTTGGAATCGCTGAAGTTTGGACCCTTCATGTTTCTTAAATTAAAAACTTTTCAATTTCTGAAACTTAAATTTTTGTGGAAAATGGTCAAAGTTGTGTGTCCGAATGAATACTGGTCCGTATGGTTAGAAGATTTCAGGTATTAGAAAACAAATACACAGGTGATTCGCGAACAATCCGTTACGGACGCTCAGTGTTCGCGCGCGGTTGAAATAGGAACCGCATACGGACCGCACGCGACCCGTTTGCAGAAAACCACAGCACATTATTCCGTATTCCTCCGTATTCTGTCCGTTCGCGAACTCCGTATCCGATCCGATTGCGAATGATGGACAAACGGATCCGTTCGCGAATCAGACAAAAGTTT